TCATCCCACATTTGGGAGGCCATGGCGGGGATCACCTGAGACCAGCAGTCGGAGGACCAGGCCTGGACACCATGGTGAAATGCCTAGTTGCGCATGTGGCGGCGCGCGGTTGGCGTGCCTGTCATTCCCGGCACTTTGGAGGCAAGGTTGGGGGATTCAATGAGGTCAGGATTCAATACCACGCCTGGCCAGGCATGGTGAAACCCAGTTTACTAAAAATACAAAATTAGGCCGGCGGTAGGTGGTGCATGCCTGTGATCCAGGATACTTGGAGGGCTTGGGACAGGAGATACTGATCCGGAGGGCAGAGGTTGCAGTGAGCCGGAGTTGCGCCACTGCCACTCAGGTCGGGTGAACAGGAGTGGACTTCCGTCTCACCTAGACTCAAATGATCCTCCTGCCTCAAGCCTTCCGAGGAGCTGGGACTTCAGGGGTGCACACCATGCCCAGCTATTTTTTTTAAGACAGGGTCTCACTGTTGCCCAGGCTGGAGTGCAGTGATGTGATCACAGCCCACTACAGCTTCAACCTCCTGGACTCAAGCAAGGCTCCCACCTCAGTCTCCCGAGTAGCTGGGACTACGGGTATGTGCTACCATGCCCAGCTAACTTTTGCATTTTTTGTAGAGATGGGGTTTCGCCATGTTGCCCAGGCTGAACCTGAACTCCTGGGCTCAAGTGATCGTCCTGTCTCTGCCTCCCAAAGTGCTGGGTTTAGAGGTGTGACCCATCATGCCTGGCCTCTTTTTTTTTTTTTTTTTGAGATCGAGTCTCGCTCTGTCGCCCAGGCTGGAGTGCGGTGGCGCGATCTTGGTTCACTGCAAGCTCCGCCTCCCGGGTTCACGCTATTCTCCTGCCTCAGCCTCCCGAGTAGCTGGGACTACAGGTGCCCGACACCACGACCGGCTAATTTTTTGTATTTTTAGCAGAGATGGGGTATCACCAGCTATTCAGGAGGCTGAGGCAGGACAATCACTTGAACCTGGGAGGCAGAGGTTGCACGGAGCCAAGATCATGCCATTACACTCCAGCCTGGGCAACAAGAGGGAAACTCTGTCTTGAAAAAAATAAAACCGTTTGTCTGGACTCATAGTGGCAACTGTAACAAAACTCCAGTGTAATCCGGGACTTTAGCAGGATTCCCACCCTGCCCTCAGCCCTTTCGCCCTCCCCTATAAGGGAGCTAGCCTCTCATTACATCTTGGCTTGGGAACACTGTAGTCGCTGGCCCAGCACACTCATGCTCGGTCACTTCATCAGACCGGCCCCTGCAGGTGCCTCTGGTCAGTGTGCTGACTGACTGGAAAGCCTGCCCTCTGCTTTCTGCCAAAATCTGTGCTTCCTTCAAGATACTCTCCTGACAGGAAGTCTGACAGGCCTCTCCTAGCGTCAGCTGTCCACCTCCTTAACATTTGCTCCAACCTTCTGCACGCAGTTCTGGAAACCTTCTACTGACTAACTCCCGGACTTGGTAACATATGCCAGGCACTGTGCTACTCCCAGGGATGGTCCTAAATCAGATCGTCTCTGCTCTCTGGGCCATCACAGTACAGTAAGAAAGGTACACTGTTGCTTAAAAGGTACAGTGTTGCTTAAAAGCAACACTGAGAGCATGGCGTGCGCAAGGCTGGGAGCGGCACAGGGCAGGAGAGGAACGCTCAGTGAGATGGGGAGAGGCCGGGAAGGCGTCCTAGGAAAAGTGATGTCTCAACTGGGTTTTCAAGGATAAAATAAGTTTCATTAGATAGGAAATGTCTCTGCCCCAGGTGGGCTCAGGCCCTGCTCCCTGCAGGAACTCCCAGCTGCCTCTGGACCCTGGCCCCAGCCAGGAGTATTTCAGTTACCATGTCCCCTGTTCTTGCCCGGACATTCTTGCATTTCCTGGGCTCCAGCCAAAGGGAAGTACTGAAGGCTCATGAGTCGACAGACACAGATATGAGTTCCAATCCTCATGCAGTGGTGAAGTCTATTGCTCCTTACTTATATATTCTTTGAGACTCAGTTGCCTTCTGTGTAAACAGTCAACAGTGACACTGTCTACCTAAAGAGGACATGGTAAGAACTGACACAGGCAAAGCCTGGGTGCACGCCTGCCCGCCAATCACGGTGAGCTGTTATTTGGAAACAGGTGTGTGCCTCCTCCTTAGCAGGAGTCTGCCTTCCTCACCGTGCCATCCTTTTTGCTGTTGCTGGCAAGGATGACCACGAATCCTGACACACAATGGGCTTGAGGAAAGCACTGTGGGCTATAGATTCAGAGATCAGTCTGAGCCCCAGCTCTGCCACTCACTGGGTGAGCTACCTGGGGAAGTCCTTGAACTTCTCCAAAGCTCACTACCCTTTTAGACCCTGTCAACTCCAGCCCAGACCCAGCTTTTGCAACAAACTTCAGTCTCCTGGAGACCTCTCTGGCACAGGGCTGGGAGAAGGGGCCACCTGGCCGTAGGGCCTGCCAGCACCTCTCTTCCTGCTGGCAGGTGTTTAAAGAGGAATTTTTTAATTTATTTTTTATTTTTTTTTTTGAGACAGGGTTGCCCAGCTGGAGTGCAGTGGGTCAATCTCAGCTCACTGCAGCCTTTAACTCCTGGGCTCAAGTGATCCTCCTGCCTCAGCTTTCCTGAGTAGTTGGGACTACAGGCACATCCCACTCAGCTAATTTTTAAATTTTTGTAGAGATAGGGTCTAACCATGTTGCCCAGGTGGGTCTTGAACTCCTGGCTTCAAGCAACCTCTCCCCACCCAAGGCCCCAGCCTGTCCTTACAGCTCCCACCAGGACTCTCGTTTCTAATGGATGGCTGCAGAGACTGGCAGTCTCCCTGCAGCTGTCGGTCTGGGCCGGCCAGCCTGTCGCAGCCTGGCCTCTTACCTCCTTTCCTGCCTGCTCTGTTGCCCAGGGCGGGTCCTGTCCCCAGCGTCCGCTGCCTCCTCTTCTCTGGACGGCCCTGCTCACAACCCTACCCTGTCTTGCTCCACACTGCTCAGTCAGCTCGCTCTTTCCCCCTTTCCTTGGCAAGGATATTTTGGCTTTGCTGTACCACTTCCAGAACCAAGCTTGAGTTCCACCTCTTGTCCTGCACTGGCTAAATCCCAAAGGCCTGGGCTGCCCTGCTGGCACCTCCCGCCTCCCTCACAGACACACTCCCGCTCGGAAGAATGAACGAGCCGCTCCCGCTGGGACAAAGACCCTCATGACATGTAAGAGGCTCTTCCTTTCTTCAAAGAGATGAGGGTCCCTGCCCCAAATTGGGTCAGGGACATGTTGCCAGAAGTTCTTTCTCAGGTTTTGATGGTTACTTGGCCCCTTCTCAGCTTCTTAGAAAGGTTTTTAGTAAATCTATGATGGGAAGACATGAATCTATTTATTTTATAATTATTTTTTTGAGACAGAGTCTCGCCTGTCACCCAGACTGGAGTGCAGTGGTGAGATCTCGGCTCACTGCAACCTCCGCCTCCTGGGTTCAAGCGATTCTCCTGCCTCAGTCTCTTGAGTAGCTGGAATTACAGGCGCACGCTACCATATCTGGCTAATTTTTGAAGTTTTAGTAGAGATGGGGTTTCACCATGTTGGTCAGGCTGGTCTGGAACTCCTGACCTTAAGTGATCCACCTGCCTTGGCCTCCCAAAGTGCTGGGATTACAGACGTGAGCAACCACGCCCAGCCGGCATGAATCTAAAAGTCACAATAGCAGTTCTCTCCCATAGTTACTCGGTGCCGGCCTTCTTCAATCCTCAGCCTCATGAGGTGTGTGCTGTGTCATCCACACTTTATAGATGACAAAACGAGGCCTAACACTTTGTCTAAAGTCAGACAGAGCTGTGCTTCTAACCACCAGACTCATGATCTCACTGATCCTGATGAAATTCTCTACCCACTACTTCACCTTCTCACACAGAACCTGACCCACCCACAGGCTGGGGCAGGGGTCCTTAATACCAGTAACTGGTTGGCCCAAGCTTTCTGCCCTGTTTGGGGACCAGAAGGTCTGGGGTTTCCAGAAGCTGACGTGCAGTCCCTCCTAGGTCAGGAGGCAGCTGCTCCACCCTCTCCTCTAGTTCTATCTGTAACACCCCCACACCCCCACACACCTCTCCTGCCTTTGCTGGCACTGGCGTTCCCTCCCACTCTCGCTGAGATCTGGGACGGCTCCCCCAGTCAGTGTCTCATGAAGTGGACAGGAGGCGCCACTCTGGAGAGGAGATGGCTACACTGCTTCCCGGCCCCTAACACTTCTATTCTGAGACAGTGCCCATGCCAGCAGGGCCAATGTAACCTGACTTCTTAGACCTTCTGGCCCCTCTTCCTCCTCACCTGGTGTCATAGTCGTTGGAGTTCCTATCAAACTTGTAGGTGGGTGGGAAGAGCAGGCGGCCCTCCTGGAACTCCCGGAGCAGCGGGTCATGTTTCTTGGCAATGCTGAGCTGCAGACAAAGTCACAGTCCCCGTCTCCCTCTAGTCTCGACCCAATGGCCCAGCACCACACTCCATTCAAGGGATCAGCACATGCCGTCACAAACGGGGCAAGAGTCAAGCAATGCCACTCCACTGCCTCACTGCCCCAGTGACTACTCACAGCCCACCCCCACCAGAAAGCAGGTGAATCCTTTCAGAAACATTACCAAGGCCTAGGGGAGGCAGCTGTCTGCCGTTTCCCAGTCCTTAGACTGCAGGGACCCGACTTGGAATTCCGTCTCTAGTGGAGGTCACTAGCAGACACGTGTCAGAGGGGAAGCTGGGGGAGCCAGGGTCCTCCAAAGGGTCATCTCACCCTCCAGGAGGGAAACGGGGCTGGGGACGGGAAAGACAGACGACAGGGATACGATGGGCTGACGCGTGGTGGCGCCTGGTGCAAAGCCCTTCTGGTTCCCTATTCTTCTTTTCTAAATAATTCATTTCATGCTCTGCATCTGGCTCCCTATTCTAAAGCACACCCAGGGGCTGTTACCCTGGCTCTTCCATGTGAAGATCAGGCACCGGCAGGCGGGGCTGCCTCACCCCTAGACGCGAAGCCCTGCTAGACAGCCTCCCCCACCAGACCTGGGCAAAGGAAAACAGCGGCGAGGGCATCTAGCAACAGTCCGCATGGCTCCCACCGTGGGCCCAGATCACCCCCTGGGGCCCTCCCCTCACTTGATACCTGGTCCTTCTCCCACAGGCCACTGTAGCACCGATTTTTAATGGATTCCCGAACAAAGTGCAACCCAAAGTCCTCGATCCGAAAGTTCATGTCTCCAAACCAGATAATGAGGCTTCAGAAAAAAAGGAGGGCAGCCTGAGGATTTCTGATAAAGTCAGGGAAAGGAGATCACCAGGTGGCTCAGCCTGCTCAACCCAAGGGCTGCAGGGGCACAGAAAGCCCGAGGGGCAGGTGAGGCACCAGGGCACACGTGGGTCCTCTGGAACTGTTCTCATGGCTCCTAAACCACCATTCAAACCAAAGAGACCCATCAAAGAGCCTGCTCTAGCAAACACAGAGCAGGCTGTGGCCCTTGCTTCCTCTCCTCAACTGGTCACAAGGAAAGGCTGAGAAGCCCTCCTGGTGACCTCAGGAACCTCAAGGGCTTTGACCTGTTCCCAAGTGTTCAGGGTTTCTAGGCAGGACAGAGGGGCTGGAGGAAGGGGACCCCAGGCAGGCAAAGCGAGGGGAGACAGCAGATGGGCACCAGGGAAGGGGCAGGGAGAGGGTGGGAGCCAGAACACTGACTGACACTGGCTGGGGAACGGTGACGGGGCAGAGGACGCTGGCTTGGGTTAGCGTGGGGCAGAGGGCGGGGAACAGTCTGCAGAGTCAGGCTCACTCGTGATCCAGGATGTTGGGGATGTCTCGCCCCTCACAATTCTGCATCTCCAGGATCCGGTCAAAGTGCTCCAGCCGCTGGTAATTGTTGGAAATGTGGGGAGGCAGGTGGCAGTTGATGATGCTGACATAGTAGCCATAAAGCTTCAGGCAGATGTTGACCCCACCTTTGTTCCCCTGGTGGAGCAGGTCAACAGAAGAGTGGGAAGCTGCTCTGGGTTGGACCACCCCTCTTTCCACATCCTAGACCTGAGGGGAGACAGTCTCACTTCCCCCAGGGTCTCCCATGGACAGCAACTAAGCTTCCCAGGGTGACCTCTCCATGCACAGAGCCCAGCTCGCCGCACCTGGCCTCAGGGATAGCAAGCCCACTGTGAGGCAAAAGAACAAACATGCACTGGGCTGGACAGAGAACCAAGATTCCTTTCACTTCCTTTTTCTTTTGCCCAGCACCACAGTTCCCAGCCCTTCCCAGCTCACGACTTGGACAACAGCTCAGTCCTTACCCAGTATCCAAACACCCTTCCCAGCTCACCACTCGGACAACAGCTCGTCCTTACCCAGTACCCAAACAGGCCAGTGGGGGTGGATTTAGTCGACAGAATCTGGATATAGGGCAAATGCTGATACTTGGCAAAGACCAGTAAGAGAATCCCCTGCATACGGACATGGGAGACCTGCAGGAGAGAGAGGGTAAAGGTCGCTCATTAAACCACAGAGGCCAAGTGCATCCCTTCCAAGCCCCGTGCTAGGGACACTAGAGAGCCCTCAGCTACATGCAGTGTCCTGCCCCAGGGTCTACGATATCCCAGTTTGAATCTCAGTGTTTCAAGCCTTTCATTCTTCTCCTCAGCTGCCAAATGATACATGCTGGGGGCTGAGGTTTTAGATTCTGCTCCTAGGCCTGGCGGTGGTAGGGAGAGAAGATAAGGCTGCCAGGGCACCCTGCCATGAGGATAGCACCAACTCTTCAGTCGCTGCCCCATGGATGCCTAGTCCCCTCTCAGAGATGCTATCCTGAGATCCTCTGGGTACCCTTAGGCTGCAACCCTGGGTTGCTGGGGCCTCAAAGAGGAAAGAGGATAGCAGCTAAGGATACTGGCTTTGAAGTTAGATCTGGGTTCAAACCACGGCTCTGATTCTTAGTATTTGACATTGAGGAAGTTTCTCAGTGTATTTTCTCACTGATAAAGCAGGAATCTATCTCATAGACGCTGTGGGGATTATCTGAAAGCTATTATTTTTTGGTTTAAGCATTCTTTTTTTTAAATTTTATTTTATTTAATGAATGTATTTATTTATATTTATTTTAGTATTTAGTTTATTAATTTTATTTTGTTGTTGTTTGTTGTTTGTGAAGAAACGAGTCTCGCTCGTGCCCAGGCTGGAAGTGCATGCCGGACTCCAGCCTCCTGCAACTCCGCCTCCGGTTTCAACCGCCCATTCTCTCCCACCTTTCCGTAGCTTGGGACTACAGCCCTGCACCTCCCCGGCTAATTTTTTATTAGAAAGAGAAACCGGGGTTCACCGTGTTAGCCAGGATGGTCTCGATCTCCTGACCTCGTGATCCGCCCACCTCAGCCTCCCAAATTGCTAGGATCATAGGCGTGAGCCACTGCGCCAGGCCAAGCATTCTTAAAAGTAAAGGAAGGAACATGAGAGGTTTCCAGGGTGCTGGAAATGCTCTTCTTTATCCCCTTCCCTCCCTCCCTCCCTGGGAATGTTCTTTGTCCACCGTCTGCCCCCATTTCTCCCTCTTAGAGACATGATTTCGCTTTGTCTACCAGGCTGGAGTGCAGTGGTGCAATCACGGCTCGCTGCAGCCTTGACATCCTCGGCTCAGGCAATCCTCCCACCTCAGCCTCCTGAGTAGCTGGGACCACAGGTGCGCACCACCATGCCAGGCTATTTTTGTTTGTTTTGTAGAGACAGGGTCTTGCCATGTTGCCCAGGGTGGTCTTGAACTCCTGGGTTCAAGCAATCTGCCTGCCTCTGTAATCCCAGTGTTGGGATTACAGGCGTGAGCCACCACGTCCGGTCTGCTCTTTATCTAGATGTGGCTGATGGTAACATGGGTATGTGTAAACATCCATCAAAGTGTACACTGAATTTCTACATGCTTTTCTGTGTACATTATAGCTCAGTGAAAAGAAAATAAGAAAATGTTTTCCCCAAACCCTGTAACTATATACTGCGTGCAGCTGGGTGTCCATGAAGGCAATACCCAGGGAATGCCAGTGGGTAAGGACACAGGCTCACAGGCTGGGGAGAAGAGCGAACATCAGCTCAAGATGCCCACAGGCTGAGGAGAAGAGCGAACAGTAGCTCAAGATGCCCACAGGCTGGGGAGAAGAGCGGACAGTAGCTCAAGATGCCCACAGGCTGGGGAGAAGAGCGAACATCAGCTCAAGATGCCCACAGGCTGGGGAGAAGAGCGGACAGTAGCTCAAGATGCCCACAGGCTGGGGAGAAGAGCGGACAGCAGCTCAAGATGCCCACAGGCTGGGGAGAAGAGCGGACAGCAGCTCAAGATGCCCACAGGCTGGGGAGAAGAGCGGACAGTAGCTCAAGATGCCCACAGGCTGGGGAGAAGAGCGGACAGCAGCTCAAGATGCCCACAGGCTGGGGAGAAGAGCGGACAGCAGCTCAAGATGCCCACAGGCTGGGGAGAAGAGTGAACAGCAGCTCAAGTGCCTCCTCTCTCATTTACTCCTGTCAACCCTGGAAGGAATCACTGTCCCTGTTTTGCAGATGAGGGACTAAGATTTAGGGAGGCTAAGGGACCAGGAGGGCTACCTGTATTGTAAAACAACAGCAAGGGGCTAGGACTGCCAAGATCCCTGCTATCTGCAGCTGCCAAAGGTGGGGTGGGAATGGGCCACAGCCAGTAGCTCTCCCTCTCAGGTTCAGGCTGGCTACCACCAGCACCCGAGTCGCTGTTTCCGGAGAATGAAGTGTGGAGGCCAAGGAGGAAATCCCCGGGTGGGGAGCGTGTACTGGGGCCTTCCAGGAATTATGAAACTTGATCCTGTAGGCCACGAGCCCTAGCAGAGCGGAGTCAAAGCAGGGGGAACCTCAAACCCAGCACTGGGCAAGGGAGGCATGAGAACTTCAGGTTGGCCAGAGGTTGCTACAGACGTGTCCTCAAGCCGATCATCCTCCCCAGTCTTCTCTCTCTCCCACCCAAGCACACAGGACAACAGGGATGGAGGACGGGCTGGACCATGACGGGCTGACTCCCAGGGTCAGGACTGAAGCAAGGGGACTGATAAAGACTCAGGAAAAGTTTCAGCTTAATCCCCACCCACAAAGCAGCTTTAGGCCACTGGGTTCCACCACAAAGACACTGGCTCACTTTGTGAAGGAGCAGCAGGAAAGTGGGGGCGGGGAGGGCGGGGTCGGGGCAGGACAGAGTCAGACTGGGAGAAAGGGTGGGGCTGTGGGAAAAGCAGGAGAGTTCTAGGGAAAGTTCTAGTTGGAGGAAATGAAGTAGGAGGAGCAAAGAAAGGACTAGCAGGAGGTGGCTGGGGGCCCTGGAGCAGTGGAAGGGGGTCAGCCCTTCTCAGTCTATAGCTGGCAAATGCACACCTAAGAAGAGGCTTACAGGGAGCTCACCCATCCACCCTGATTGTTGGCTGGGGAAAGAAGGGCATCTGTTTTGGGTGCCAGGCCCTCAGGCTGGCCTCCCAATCTCAGCCGGCCACATGGGTAGAAAGAGCTGTGTCTCTGCCACAAGCTGAGCTAATTTCCTTGGCTCAATTCCATCCTACCAACCTCTGCCAGTCCGCCAAGAAGCAAGGAGGCCTGCAGTCTTGCGAAGGGAGTGGCGGGTGAGAGAGAAGTGGTTCTGTCCTCTGTAAGGATCTAGCTCCCTATCTACAGAAGGAGGCCTCTGGGCTTGATGTGGAGGGAACCAAGGACTCTCGCTGGCATTTTCTATCCGCAGGAGCTCTAAACCTTAGATTCTTTCCTCCCCATTCTGCTCCCCCTCCAAAGGATACACGGCTCTTGCCCCAGTACCCCCAGGCAAACTAGGCTGACTGAATTCACTCTGAAGAAGGAGTCATCCGGGAAAGGGGAAAGAGGGAATTCTGGTATTTCTAAGCAGCTGTACACCAGGTGCTGTGAATGGGAGGGTTTCATCCCTCAGGTGTGCAGGGCAGAAGCAAGGTGAAGATCCAGCAACCTAGGGCCTTCCTGTGGACTCTCCTACGGTCTGAAGACACCCCCGAGGATACTGCTCCCCCAGACTGAGAACTTTCACCCACCACACCTGACTCCCTCTCCTAACTTCTGGACCCTCAGAATCTGACGTGCACGTCCCGTACGACCTGAGGATACCCTATGACACCAGCAGGCTAGCCATGTCTAAGATCTGTCAGTCTTAGAGTTCACCAGCATAGCAATAAAGTATTAGTAGTTAAGAACTTGGGTGATAAAGTTTGAAAGACCTGGGTCCAAATCCCAGATAGTGCGTGTGACTTCTGAGCCATGGTTTTCTCTGTAAAATACCTCTATTTCAACACACTTGTTACGATTTTAAAATAACATATATAACATAAAGAGCTACTTATGATGTTTAACACCAAGTAAGCGCTTGATAAATGACAGCAGTATTATTACACTCAGAGACTTCAGGACGGGCATTTGAGTAGAGACTGGTGGCTGGGGCGGGGGCCAGTACCGAGGTGTTCACAAGCCCTGCTGCACCTCCCCTCAGAATCTTCCCAAGCTGAAACATATGCAGGTGTTAACCCAACCCCTGGAGACTCAGCTCAGCTCCAGCTCCCTCAGAAAGGCGAAAGCAGGCAGGAGCCCCAGGGGTCCAGATGCAAGTGAGGTTTAGCCCTTTAAACAAATGGGAAACAGCATGAAAGGCTAAGTAGGAGTAAGAGGAACACATCAGACCAAACAAGCGGGGTCAGTGCAGACGTGAAAACACAGTTGTCGATTGCCCACGAACTGGCAAGTTACCTTGACGAAGCTCAGAGGGGAAAGCACATCCATGAGGAAACTGCTCCACGAGTCATTAAAGGCAGCATCGGAAAGGAGGCTTATGATCCCAGAGTTCAGTTCCTGCAAACTGACCATGCCAGCTCAGAGGCTTGGCTCCTAGCCTCCAGGCTACTTCCCCTGCCACAGATATTTAACACCGTGTTCACAGACTTTCCAGCCCTGAGTTCTGACGGCCGTGAGGTCTCCCTCCCCTGCCGGCTGATCTCCAGCCCCCTTTGCCGTTGCTGACCCAGGATCAGAAACACGGGACTGTCCCTGGAGCAGGCTGAAAGCTCCCGGCCTTCAGACTCCAGAGCGGAGGAGGGCAGGTCACAGTGGTTCCCACAGGGAAACCCGGGACTGGTCAGGGAAGGGCGAAGGAGCCTGCAGATACCTACCCAATGACATATATGTCAAGATTCAGGTTCTGGTTGTTCAGCTGAAGCAGGTCACTGAGATCTAGAGGGGGCGCTGCTGAGGCCACGTTCCAAGTCACGACATGTATGCTGTGGAAGGGAAGCAGAGGGAAGTCACGGAGGAAGGAGGGTAAGAGAGAGCACGGGGTCGGCTGGGCACGGTGGCTCATGCTTGTCATCCCAGCACTTTGGGAGGCCGAGGCGGGCGGATCACCTGGGGTCAGGAGTTCGAGACAAGCCTGGCCAACATGGTGAAACCCTGTCTCTACTAAAAGTACAAATATTAGCCCAGCATGGTGGCAGGCACCTGTAATCCCAGCTACTCAGGAGGCTGAGGCAGGAGAATCACTTGAACCTGGGAGGCGGAGGTTGCAGTGAGCCGAGATCGTGCCACTGCACTCCAGCCTGGGTGACAGAGTGAGACTCTGTCTCAAAAGGAAAAAAAAAAAAAAAAGATAGTGCACGGGGTCTAGGCCTGCTCATGTCACCACAATCCGCCACACTCATGATGGAAATGCGGGTTTCTGCGCTAGTGGAGGGAATGGGGATACTGAACCATCAGCTGTCCGTCCTCACCTTTCTCGGCTGAAGCAGGAAATCCCCACCCTGGACTGGGTCCTCCATGCAGGCTCACAGCCGCCCACACCTGGCAGCACTGGTGCTGCTGATATAGCAGAGTTGCCAAAGGGAGCCCAAGACTTTCAGGTCAGGCTAGGGGAGGGTTAGGGGGCTGAACTGCCAGGAATATATTAATTCCATCAGCTCCTCCAGCCACCCACACACCTCTGTGATCATCTAGGGCTCAGTCAGCAACTTCCCATCCCTACTTCTCACCCCAAGTATTCCTAAGACCACCAGGAAGATCCTGGGGGTTCAGATTTCACCTTGTGATAGGACTCAGCACTACAAGGGCAGAGGAATTTAAAAAATAAAAGAGATAACACCACCATATTCCCTTCCTCTCTCCTCCCTAGCAGATCCCAGGAAGAAACCAATTTTGCCAAGCACTTCAGAGAGCCTTTTTTTTTTTTTTGAGACAGTCTCACCCTGTTGCCCAGACTAGAGTGGAGTGGGACGATCTCGGCTCACTGCAGCCTCCGCTTCCCAGGTTCAAGCGATTCTCCCGCCTCAACCTCCCAAGTAGCTGGGATTACAGGTGTGTGTCACCACACCTGGCTAATTTTTGTATTTTTAGTAGAGACAGGGTTTCACCATGTCAGCCAGGCTGGTCTTGAACTCCTGATCTCAGGTGATCTGCCCGTCTCAGCCTCTCAAAGTGCTGGGATTACAGGCCTGAGTCACCGCGCCCGGCCAAGGGGTTTTTAAGTAACAGGTTTCTTGACATCTCTCTTAAGAGTCTATGCTCTACGTCTGTGTAGGATTCCGTGAAAAATAAAAAGTACTCTCTTGGGAAAAGTCGTCAGTTGGATAACATTTTCCACCTCAGTTTACAAGTCTTAGGGAAGCAAGAAAACTAGATCAGGGGCCTCAATGACACGGGATCCAGTCAGAGGCTCAGAGGAAGGAGAGACCTACAGATGTCTTTGCAAAACAGTCAGTCACAGCAGCTCTTCAAGAAGCCCCAGACTGTGTGCAGCACAGAGCACGCAGGAGCTGCAGACCCTGCAGAGACCAGGAACAGCCTGGCCTGAGTCCTAGGCACAGGATGAGGAGTACCTGCAGCAGCTGGAGATCTGGAATGGCAGAGGGTACAGGGGGATGGGAGAAAAGAGCAGATGATGCCAAAACATCTCTTCTCCAACAGACCCTGTTCTTAGAGGTTGACGTTCTCAAAGGCACTTCAAGAAATTCTTGGCCAGTTTAAAGCAACTTCCTGTCCCTCCCTGTTAGCATAAACAACACTACAGAAACCACGTTCCCAGGCACTCAGCCTGAGACTGTGTGCTTCATTTGTTTACGATCTCCCCCTGCTGTCCGACAGAGGCTTAAGGAACAAAAGACCTTTTACTCAGAGTCTTATTTTCTCAGACTCACTCTAAGAGGATGGAGAGCAAAAGTCCGGATTTCTTGTTCCCACTCTCAAATCCGACGATTAGCAGCAAATCCAAGCATCGTGACTTACACTAAGTGGGCGATTAGCCTTGTGCCCCGTGAAAGAGCAGGCAAGAGACCAGGCTAAGTCACTTCACTAAAGGATCTTATCTCAATCTGATTTCGGATTCCCGGGGGTCACCATGGGATCACGCAGACCTCCTGATGTATGTGCTGATGAGAAGCAGGAACAAGATTTCTAACCTAGAGCTGAAAGGTGACGGCCTCGTTATGTCTTTAACCTCAAACAACCCAACACGGCTGTCCTCTCCACAAAGCAACCGGGACACCTGCTTGCGCCCCAGTGGGAACGAGCTTGGCAGCCTCGGCTTAGAGGGGGCGCGAGGCTCGGGCCCAACACAGCCCACCTGACACAGGCGAGGGAGAAGGTGGTAGCGCCCCTGAACCAAAGGCAGTCATGGAGGTCTGGTGCCTTGTGTCCCGGTCTGCGTCCACCCCCAGCCCGCAGCCCGAGGGGGTCGGCGGCAGCGATGCCCCGAGCAGGCCTCCTCTGCCGCCAGCGTCTCCTCACCTGAGCCTCCTGCCCTTCGGCCCGCTCAGCTTCCGCGAGCTCATGGCCGCCGTCGTCCCCGCGCGCTGGTCCGGCAGGTTCGCGTCTCCCGGCCAGCGGGTCCCGGCCAGAGCAGCCCTGCCGGCGGCCGGCCGGACGCCTCGCTCTCGCGAGCTGTTTTTCTTCCGGACTCCGACCTTCCGCCCCGGCTTCCGTCAGAGACGGGCCAAGGGCGCACGCCGGGCTCTGGGTGGTGCGGTTCGCAGGAGGAGGCGGGACTCTCCCACGAGCGCGAGGCTGCGAGAGGCTGAGCCAAGACGGGATCGCGGACGTCAGCGGGGGCGTGTCGGGCCTGTCGGGCCTGTCATCAGCGCACCACGCAACAGTACCCCAGACGACGCGGGGTGCGCGGCCGCCGCCAGACCCGGCCCAGCCCGCGCCCGCCGTCCGCGGCTCCCAGTGTGCCCCGCGCCGGGGACCGTTTTCCGGCGGAAGTTGTCGCTTCGCCGCCGCCGCCTCTGCCCCACTCGCGAGGCATCCGAGAACCCCGTCCTTGTGTTGTCTTCGCCCCGGCTCCCCGCCGTCCAGAGACCCAGGGGGTAGACGAGGGTCGGGGGTGGCGACACGCAGCCTAGCCACTGTCCGGCCTGGGATCCGGCCTCCCCGCCCCCCAGCTGCAGGTAATCTCCCCGTTCCCGTGGCGCTCACGCCGCTACTGCAGCGCCTCCGTTCTCCACGCCCACTTCCAGGCGGCTTTCTGCCCCACACTGATTGGATTACCTATGGCATAGAGGACGTTTGGGGATTCCTGGACTCCTGGAAAATTAGCCGTCAATAAATGAAACGCAGGCCGGGCACGGTGGCTCCCGCCTGTCATCCCAGCACTTTGGGAGGCCGAGGCGGGCGGATCACTTGAGGTCAGGAGTTCGAGACCAGCCTGGCCAACATGGTGAAACCCCGTCTCTGCTAAAAATACAAAAGTTAGCTGGGCTTGATGGCGCGTGCCTGTTAATTCCAGCTACTAGAGAGGCCGAGGCAGGAGAATCGCCTGAACCCGGGAGGCGGAAGTTGCAGTGAGCCGAGATTGCGCCACTGTACGCCAGCCTGCGGGACAGCGCGATTTCGTCTAAAAAAAAAAGCCCAGATGGGGTTTCGCCGTGTTGGTCAGGCTGGTCTGGAACTCCTGACCGCAGGTGATCCGCCCGCCTCGGCCTTCTAAAGTGCTGTGATTATAGGTGTGACCCACCGCGCCCGGCCTAGAACTACTTTAAATAAATGTTTTGCTTGTTTGGTAGGGTGGATAAAGAGGAAGATGTGAAGAGGAGGCAGACAAAAGCAAAAGGAAATCCTGTCAGTAGGAAATGGTCAAATTACAATTCAGATGTGCAATGTTTGCATAAGTAAACTGACAAATTTTCAGACACATCTTGGTACCTCTTCCTAATCTTGCCCTGGTAAAATGGGGGTTATCAGTGCAAGTTTGAGGATATATACAGTTGGAAAATGGACATCACCAAACTGGACTCCAGAAAGCTCTGTCTAGGATTTTATTAGACTGCTTTTTTCTCAATATACCTGTATTGGAAGATTGAGACAAAAAGGCACAAACTCACATTAAATAAACAAGGTAATCTAATCAATTCTACAAAGTGTAGTTTGTAAAAGAAGTAGCACTAGGAACCAACCAAAGTAAGTCAGGGAGTCCCAGCAGGGACTGTAAAAGGAGAACTTGGGAAGCTATACACATGCCCACGATACTGACCCTGTCCCAGACCTCTCTGCATGAGAACGCCAGAGCCCAGCACCCCTCCTACAGAGGCACTGCTGCTTCTGTTGGGGCTGTGACCCTGGAATTCTAACGGAAGCAGCTGGTCTGAAGTGGCATGGCACACACTCAGGTACTACCCCTGGAGCTGAGCCTTTATCATAAGTCCCTCTGAGTGCTAGTCAGTTTGGGGCCGGGGGGGGGGCGTTGACGAGGAAAGGGGGTACTTAAAAGAAGCCAACACTGTTGCCCAGCAGCAACACCATCCATGGGGATGGAACAGACCAGGGACATCCTCCTTTGTTTATATGGGCTGGAGTTCCAGATCCAGGCTGACCTTAGCTCATAATGGATGCTTTTCAACTGGGGCAACAGGTGGAGGTGGGAGGAGCCCTCGTTAGGGCTAAAGTGATATGTGTCGGTCTCAAGAACCAAAAGAAGGAGACTAACAGCTGCTGACCCTCAGACCACGTAAACAACTGTCTGCCTAGAATGTTAGTTTGTCTGTTTCGAGATAACCCACATCTGGACTTCCCCTAGTTGATGAATGAAGAAGGGACATCTTTAAGTACAAATATAATTAATAGCTAATACAGAGCTTACAGGAAAACATTTACATTTTTCTCCAGTAGGAATGCCTCTTCTCCAACTTTCCAAGTCAGATAAATGCTACCTGCAGTTGAGATGCTACCCAGATGCATTACTAAAGACCCCTCAAGGTGAGGAGACTCACACAGAGGAAGGTGTCTGTAACAAGACATCTGGTTCCAAAGGGACCTCATGAAGGTCAGAGCTAACCATGCTGGGGGTCTGAGTCTGTCCACCCTTGCCCCAGGAGGGCCACAGGGAAGCGTCCATCAGGATGGCACAGGTGCAATCCTGTGAGACACTCCCTTATTGCACTTAGAAATGAGTAAGGCAAACAAACTGACAAAAACAGGATACATTCTCCCACCCACTTCTTGCTTCCCAAAGATTTGGTCTCTCATTAGCAGATGCACCCAGGCTAGCGTGGGCTGGGATCATGGCACACTTAGGCCAGCGTGCTTCACAAGGTTTGGGGACTGTCAGGTGACACTACAGCTCTCTCAGATTCTCCCACTAAGAGGCAAACTCAGGCTCTGCCAAGTTGTAGGAAGCTGTGAACACTGGGCAGCATCTATTCCCCTGGAGCCTGGACTTCCTCACCAGCCTACTTTGGTCGGGTTCTGTACTATGATCACTACTTGCTTTGGATTTTCCAGGACAGAACTCAACATGGGGGTAGGACGGGCTAAGTTCTTGATCCCCAAATTCCTTTCCGGCAACTGGAGACGAGGGAACATGTTCTGCTGGAAAAAGCTTTTTGCATGCTCATATTGTGCAGCATGAAAGATCAGGACTCTTGTGTCCTAACCAGCCTCAAAGACAGAGGACAGGGACCTAAGAAAGCACAGAGAAAAGAGGATTATTGCTGAGTGGCAGCACCAGCCCCAAAGGGAAGAGGAGGAGCGGGGACGTACAGAGCTCCTCGGGGTCGGACAGTTGGCATCTAGGGGGCGACTCAATTCTAGGGGCCACATTCTAGGAGAATTCCCTCCAAGTGGAGAGTTGACTGGGGGTGATTTTGTAGGTTCTGCAGAGAGATTCAGAGTGGGCAACAGGAGGGCCAAGAAGCCACAGGTGTTTCTAAGAACAGTAACTAGAGATTCAGTGATTGGGGCAGTTATTCATATTTGTTAAATTTTCTTAAATAGAGACTGGCTGGGCCTTGGGTACCTCCGTAGTGCTGGAGTGCCCTAACGATGGGTTACTGGGAGCAGAAGTCAGAGCTGCAAAACCACATTGCTATTTTGTGGAAGTGGGGGGGGGGCGGGGGAAACACTGTATCTTTAGCTCATCCCCTCTCCCCACATGAGCACTCAAAATTGCAAAGATCTGCCCAGGAAGCAAAATACCTCAGTTTATCCAAGGTTGAGAACAAATGAACTTAAATCATTTAAATCACCACATCACAAAAGGCAGCTATTTGAAAGACTGAAAATGTCACTTGGAAATAAAGGCCGGGGGCACACACAGAAATGGGTCAGAACACAATGGAGAGAGACGGAGGAGCTGTAAATACAGCAGCCTACACGCCACGTATCAGAGGAGCAGGCTCCTGCACACGCGGGCTCTGTAACATCAGACGGTCTATTTGTTCACAATATTAAAGGGCATCTAGAATTAGCTACAGTAAGGGATCGAAAGTTGCCTGAAGAATGGGCACAGAACGGCTGCGTCCGAAGATGGCCTGTCACTTGGGAGGATGGAGCTGCTGGGCCTTCCTGTTGACCACTGTCTTGCAAAACTAGAAGAAAAATAAAAGTATTAAGGAAGCAAGAGGAGAAAACAGAAACACTGTAAATCATCCTGAAAAGGAGGAGGGATGCCAGTGGGTGGGGGGGGAAGGGAGTGGGGAGGGCACTGAGGCCCGAGCAGTGATTGAGAAGCTGGCATCACAGCAGTCCACCTAATTCCACCCTCCTGCCCCCCAGAAGCTGCTTTAGGAACATGGGGCAGGGAGAGTAAGCAGGGCCTAGCATCACTGCTGGTGAGACCCTGGCCCTCCTTACCCTCTTAGTGTTAAGAGGCCAGTTTTTATTTGCGAAAATGATTTTCTCTCTGAGCCTAATTGGGAGCAGAGCCAGGTTTTTCATTCAATGATTAGACTGCTGTGAGCTGCTGGAATCCCATGACTTGGGTGGTGTACAGGGCACTGGGAAACCAGCACTGAGAGCTAACGGAAGGAAGAGGCTCGGGGAAGAGTGACAGCATGAAACAAGGGGCCCCCACTCTGGCCCTGTGACCTGGGCAGAAACACCCTCCCAGCATCTGAAAGATGCCACCTCTGATGAGGGCAGCTTAGTGTGGGATCGGGGGTATAAAGAGGAAGGAAATGAAAAACCACACACAACAGTGGGTTCTAACAAAAGCTGTCTGGCCAGCAAGTTTTCCAAGGGGGAAGGGCAGGTAATGGCAGCTTTTGGGAGCTAGGAACTGGCGCTGGCATGGGAGGGCCAGGAGTGCCCAGCATGACAGCTGCAACTTGAGATGGATCAAGGTGCCGAGGGGAAGAGTGATTAGCAGCAGATGAACTTCCCTGCTATGTCCACCACCCTCCCTGTCCATGTCTCTATCTGGGTGGTTCTTTGGAAAACGTCCCTGAAATGTCCCAATAGCCATAATCTCTTCTAGAGGAAGCAGAGAGCTGTTGAGCATGGCAACCATCATGACTAGAGGGAAGGAGAAATAGGTTTTCTGACTCCATAGTGAGCTGCTGAGGCCTCGAAACCCAAACTGATTTTAGCGTCTGTGACAGGCACAGTGAGAAATGTGGCACGCAGTGAGAAATGTGGCACGCGCAGTGAGAAATGTGGTACGTACAGTGCAGAGGGGGAAGGGTGGCTTTAGTCATCTGCTGTCATTCCTTTCACTGGGTCCTTTTGTCTCATCTGGAAAAGAAAAAGCAGGAAAAATGGAAGGCTCCTGCTGCTGATGGAACTCCCGCCTTCTCAGTCCTGCCCATCAGTGGGGTGGGTCATATTTTGTGTACAAAGCAAGACACTGAAGGACAGAATTCTATGTATGGACTTGAAGCCGTACATTTCCAGTCTGTCACTGGCCTCACTATCCATGGTTTCTAGTTCTCTTCCTTGTGTCACGGTGTTTGAAGCACTTTTTTTTTTGGTAGAGAGGTGTGTGTGTGTGAGGGTCTTCCTATGTTTACCACGCTGGTCTTGGACTCCTGGCCTCATGCAATCCTCTGCCTCAACCTCCCAAAGTGCTGGGATTACAGCACAGGTGTGAGCCACACTTTGCCCCTCTCTGTTTCATTCACTTATTCATTCAACAAATACTTACGAAACATCTTTTTGTGTGTGTGTGTGTGTGTGTGTGAGGAGTCTTGCTCTGTTGCCCAGTCTGGAGTGCAGTGGCGCAATGTTGGCTCACTACAACCTCTGCCTCCCAGATTCAAGCGATTCTCCTACCTCAGCCTCCCGAGTAGCTAGGATTACAGGTGTGCCCCACCACGCCCAGCTAATTTTTGTATTTTTGGTGGAGACGGGGTTTCACCATGTTGGCCAGGCTGATCTTGAACTCCTGACCTCAAGTGATCCGCCTGCCTCAGCCTCCCAAAGTGCTTGGATTACAGGCGTGAGCCACCGCATGCAGCCTCAGTGAGGCATCTCTTTAGTGCAAGGAACTTCCAGAGCTGGGGATCTTTAGCTGTGAACTAAACAGATCAGTTCTCTCCTCAAGGAGCTCATATTCTGGGGCAGGGTGGGCAGAGAACAAACATTCATCTATCAGCTGGGACTATGGGCTCCTCGGATAGAGACCGACCGTGGGTAAGTGCTATTTTAGGTAGTTACGGAAGCCTGTAAGCGAGGTTTGAGATGAAACCTGAAAGAAAAGAGGGAGAAAATCCCGTGGTTCTCCAGGAGAGGAGCGCTCCTCGCAGAGGAACAGAACTTCCCTTTCCTGACCTGTTTAAAGGTGGGCACAATGTGGTGTCAGAACTAGGCACAAGGATGCAGAGGTGGAAAGTGCAGGGGCAGGTCTCAGATCCACAGACGTGCGAGGCTGCTGGAAAACGGGATGGGGGCTTCTCTGGAAGCACCGAGTAGTCCCTGTCACTGGCACCTTCCAGGCAGAAGCAGACATCACTTACTGGGGATGCTGTAGACGTGATCTCCCTAAAATCAGTTTTGACGTGAAAACTCTATCCTATGTGAAGAATGTCAGTAACATAAGTATTTCTTCACTATCCATTAGTTTTCTGCTCAACTTTTGTTCTTCATAATGTTCAACAAATTTTGAGCACCTAAGAGCACAGCCCCTAGAATCAA